ATGTGTGTGTGTGTGTGTGTTGTGTGTGTATATGTGTGTGTTGTGTGTGTGTTGTGTGTGTATATGTGTGTGTTGTGTGTGTGTGTTTGTGTATGTGTGTGTGTGTGTGTACCTGCGCGTGCGCGCTAAATGGGAACTGGCAAGGGGTGGGGTGGTTGGGGGGGGGGCAAGGTAAATGTGTTACATTTGTTTCTAGCTTTCCATCTAATGTTCTGTACTTTGAACTCGGTGCAATAAATTATTTGTTTTTGCCACATATTCAAATGTCCTGCTCCTTTTTTCTGTGTGTCTGCCTTTCCTCTTTTCCCCCTCTATAAATCAATGACAAAGACATAGCCGTTGATCTGTTTGATGAAAAATCGATGGAGAAGATGAATGTCCTGTATCGACAATAGCGCCGTGGCAGCTGTATAAGCTTGTCGCTCTCATCGATTTTCTGATTGATTCGGGCTTTCTGTTCCCCTGATTTATTTTGATGCTTGGTGAGGGTGGTTGCATGGAAGGCGCCACTGGTAGGCCCTTCTTCTTTTCTAGCTCTCTGCCGTTTCAATCTATCCGTCTTACTTTTCCCCCTACATTAAATGACTGTTATTGTGTCGAAGTGTATCTCTGTACTCAAACACACACGCAAACAAGTTGATGCTTTGGCTGCTATTTCTTCGAATATGAGTGGGTGGTGGTGTTCTCATTTGTCCTCTTGTTCTTGGACTTTTAAAAATTCCATATTACTCTTTCACTTCCCCTGTTTCATGTGAATTTTGCGAGCTGTTGGAGACGCCACTGGTTGGTTCAATTTCTTCTCCTCTTCCCCTCTGTTATCTCGGTCTTTCTGCCTAGATCTTTCTGTACACTAAATGCGGTAATTGTTTTATCGAAAAAGCTTAATATTGCTAGTGCGCAAATCCGCTGACCTGCTTTTCTATCCCTCAGTTATTTCTGTCCGTCTTATTTGTTTTTCCCCATCACCAAATGACATTTGCTGTGTCGACATGCTTCTTTTTACTCAAACAAAGAAACAAACAAACTTTGACTCACATGCTGTACTTGGTGATTAGATGGCGCCACTGACAAGTTCTACTTCTGTACTATTCTTCTGTTTTATCTTTGTTTCCTTGTTTGTATGTGGATGGTTGAAGGGCGCCACTGGTAGGTCCTACTTCTTAACTTGCCCTTTGTTGTTTCTGTCTTACTTTTTTTCCAGCAATGAATGACCATTATTGTGTCAGTGTGCTTCTCTTTACTTTAAAAAAAAAAAGCAAATTTGTTTGTATTTACTTGAAACTAAATGGCCATTAGTTTGTTGGTATGTGTCTCATTATTCGAAAACTAAAATGAAAATTAATTGTTGCTTGACCCAGTGTTCTCTAACCCAGTTTTTCTTTGTACGTTGTTTCAGAGAAACCCAGAGGACTACCTAGCCCGTAAGAAGGCCAGAGAGGAAGAGGAAAAGTCTGAGAAAAGTCGGGTGGAGCGACGCTCTGTGACCGACAGAATCCGGACCAGAAGTGCGGGAACTTCCAAAGGGTCCCGCTACAGCTACGCAGGGGAGAGAACTCTCACCTCCGAGGACGCAGCACAGGCGGCTCGTGAGTACCGCCTCAAGCGTCGTTCTCAGAACCTTGACTCCGCCTCGTCGTCCCCCGAGGTAGGCAGGTATCTGGTGGACCGGTCCTCGCGCCTCAACCGCGGCTCCGTAGGGCCCTCTTCTTCTGCGTCTGACGAGGCGTCGCTGTCCAGACAGAGCTCGCTGTCTTCCGTGGACCAGCAGCCGTCCGTGTCCGGCAAAGTCGCCACTCAGAGGTTGGAGGAAGACTCCGCCGCACTCACAGCAGTATCGCCTTCTTCAGACAAGCAAGCGCCGGTTCTAGATAAGACAGTAGTTGTAGAGAGAGCAACATTCTCAGAAAAGACGACATTCGCAGAAAAGACTACATCCCCAGAGAAGGTCGTAGTTACAGAAAGATCAGCAGTCTCTGAAAAAGCAGGAGTCCCGGACAGGGCAGCTACAGTCTCTCCTAAGCCTGACAGTTCAGACGTGTTGAAGTTAAAGTCGAGTCGCCGCAAAGACGACTTGTCACTTGAGCTAGCCTCTGTTGCTCTGGGAAGGGCCATTACTGTAGAACAAGTACCGACCCCAGTGTCGGCAGAGAGGGCTAAACAATTAGAACTCGCAGCTCAAGCAAGATCACGGGGACAACGTGAAACGTCTGGAAACGAACGTTCGAAAACCCCAACGTCACCAGAACCGAATCGAGACGGCCAGGTTTCAGGCAAGGTTACTCCTTCAGCGCCCTCACCTCGGGAGACTGGTCTGAGAATCTCCACAAAGAAAAGCCGCGCGCCCCCACCTCCTCCATCAGCCACATCCCCCGTTAACAGACCTACCACGTCACCGGTCAATGTTGTCAACGCTGGGATCTCAGTCCCCGACGGTAAACCGTCCTCACCAGACATCACAGCTTCGTTGTGTGTAGGGTCGAGTGTGAAAACACAGCCGCGTGGCTCGCCAAGAAACGACACTGTTGAGTCGAAGAAGGCAACCGACTTGAACGGTCAAGTCACGATCAAGACTTCTCAGACAGCTGTGGCAAGTCGAGTGGCCAAAACAGTCGAGGTGCCAGTGAAGGCTCCAGAGAACAAAACGGGCCAAAACCCACAAAGCTCCCAACCTCAACGACCGCCGAGGCTCAAAAAGCGCACCGGGTCAAGCTCGAGTGAGAGTGCGAAGACCTCCTTAGCCCCCTCCCCGCCGTCACCCGCAGTGGACGCAAGCCTGTCTATAACTTCTACTTCTGTCACTCAGAAGAATAGTTCGATCAAAGAAGTTTCGGGGAGAAACAGTCAAGATTCCAAGGCTGAAACGAAGACAACCGTTCGTCCTTCTGTGGCGAGAGAGAAGAACGAAATAGAAACGAAAAGGCGTTCAGTAACGGAGAAACAGGTCCCTGCTCCAGAGCCAGTGTCTCCCTCCAGACGTACCAACGAGATAAAACAGCAGGAAAACGTTTCTCCGCCCACCGCGACTGTCGCAATAACTAGAAACGAGTATTCGGCGGGCAGGAAGGAAGAGTTGAACTCAACTTATTCGCTGTCTGACTCGAAAAAAGATTTTCGGAAAATCTCTGAGACGACTATTGAAACGAAGAAAACTTCTCCTGCTAGAGGCACACGGATAGAAACAAATGTGTCGGAAACCTTCTCAAGTAACGTGGTGAAACTTGAACCCGACACCAAGAAAACTGCGTCTATTGAATCTTCGACGAAAAGCATGCTCAAAACCCAGCAAGGATTCTCTGAGGTCAATTCTTTATCTTCTGAAACCTCCCCACGAAGTCGAGACGCCATGGCTCAGCTCAACGTCGACTTTGACTTCAACAAGCGACCTCAAGGAGGGGACATAACTCCCAGCGAACCCTCCGACTCTGACGCGGAGAGTATTCCACCCCCTTTGCCTAACTCCGCCCCTCCCCCTCTCCCTCTAGGGGGGCCGCCGGTTTTGGGCACGCCAAAAGATGATCAGGAAGACGAAGAAGAAGTGGTCATGGTGGAATACACTGTTCCAGTCCAGATGAGCGTTGGAGAAAACGGAGTAACCAAAGTCACAACACTTTCCTCTTCCTCGACCACCTGTACAGAACGCAGAGTGGAAACCCGTTCTTCTCCTGATCGCCCATCACAGCTGTCTACCCAAAACATGGATGACGAATCTACCACTAAGGTCAAAACTGTGTCCGACTTGAGGTCTGACTTCTTCGGTCTGAAGTCTCCACGCAGCCCTGACGCCGAGAAGAGCAGCTTCATCAGCAGCAGCGACAAGGAAAAGGCGAATTTTGATGCGTTCCTCAACGATCTCAGCACTGAGAATAGGGTCAACCGAAAGTTGAGCTCGGACGGTTCAGTTGATTCGGACGTCTCTGATGACACCGACAGTGGCGTGCACAAAGATGGAGGATACAGCGTGTTTTCTCCAGGTGGGTCTCTCTTGCGTTGCTTATGTCATTCTCTCTCTCTCTCTCTCTCTCTCTATCTCTCTCTCTCTCTCTATCTCTCTCTCTCTATCTCTCTCTCTCT